AGGTACTAACTCAGAGTTGGGCTGCTGGGTGGAACCTCCGTGTTGAGGTGAGTAGTTGGCCTCGGGCAAAATTTATTTATTTAGTACTTCTTACCCTTGGCAGGCTTGTTTCTTGTGGATGAGCATTAACATAACCTTACATGTGTGAGTAACTGGATAGAACCACAGAGAAAAAGGACTGAAAAAGGCATCTGACGAAACTATTTGACGTGATGCGAACCGAAGAATAGAATGAAATGCCGTGCCTAACAGTAAGGAAAATGTGTGCTCTTAAGAGAGGAACCTGAAAAAGGAGCTTTGATTGTGGTTTAAGCTTAAAGATAATATGTCGTATAATAAATACCCTATAATCGTTTACTTGATAGGCTTGGGATCGTAATTGTCTGTATTATAAGATGCCTGTAGGTGTAACGTCTTAGACAGAAACAGATAGCATGACCGAAAGTCAATCCTGATGGACTTCTTGAACGTAAATAACATAGTGAAATGTATGTAATATTAAATAGCGTAACAAATGATTGAATGCGCATGGAGAACCTTGTGAGTGTCAAGCGTGCAGAGACAAGTCCCCATTAGCTGTTAAGGATTTGAATTGTATTAGTTTGTTCATAATGAAGGCTGAGTGATTCCTCTATGTTTGATATGAAACAAGTAGGAATTCTGGTTTACCCTGTCTTTATTAGATTGCTAATGCTTTAACCTGTATTGCCTTGTATAATTGACGTAGACATGAAAATTAAGCGATAGTATGAGTCAACGTATGGTAATTTGGAACTCAATGTACTGAAATGCCCCTAATGGACTGCCAAAACAGTATATCTGTAATGAATAACCTGGAAGCAGTCACTATATGTATGTAAGTGTATTGAGGACCTGACGATGGTCCGATACATGCCTAAATATGTACAATGTGTAAACGTAAAAGGCAGTGTGAGGCCCAATATACGTATTTAACTGAAAATATATGCAAGAAATAAAATGCCTGAAACAAATTGTTGGATGAAACCGCTGATCTTGGTTTCTACTGAATTGATATGGACACCTAGTGTATGTGGTATAATAGGATCACAAAGTGAGTGACAAGTTAGGGAAATATATAAATTTGAGTATCATCCTTGTACTGCTATCTAATTATCTAGTAGACCCTTAGCCTGTAAGTGATTGATGTATTGAAAGCATGGATTAGCCTTGTATGATACTTCTGACATACGGTTTGTATTACTGTAAGGGTATATAAACTCATCATCGAAACTAGAGCTATAACGAGGCGGGAAATAATCCGCTAGGATACCTGATCTCATCTGAAACATAGTGGGTATGTATAACGGGGTCTGCAGGTGCCGCCCCCCAAGTACTACGTGTGTGTGTGCTGGCTGACTTGCTAGTGCTACAATGCGGTGAAACGATTACTCTAGGTTGGTGACAGGTGAGGCCCTGCTAATTGCCAAGCGGCTTGAGAGGCTCTATCTATGCGCTGGGGATAGCGTGGCGGGTTGTCGGCCTCTCGATGACAGTTAAACATAAGATAGAATGGGAGTGACAGGTGAGGCCCTCTCTATGCCACAATGCAAGGCGACTAACTATGATTTGGCCCGAGGGGTGTAGTACCTCTGAGTATGAGGATGGGTGTTGGCCTCGCGGGACCACTAACCTAAGGCGAAGAAGCCAGGGGGAATAATAACTAGTGGACATCTAGGAACCTGACAGCCAGCCACTGCTATCTAAGAGGGAAGGTTAGTTAGTGGGAGAGAGGACATACCATGGGATGAAAACAAGAGGGATAATGACGTAGAATCGTAAGGCTGACCGTAACTGGAGTGCCCTGTGAGCGCGTCGGGTCCATATGGTCAGTACGTATGAACTAGAATGCGTGTATGTATGTATGTATGTATGTGCAGGGCCGGCGCTACCTGTTAGGCGGACTAGGCAGCACCTAGGGCGCCCCTTGGGGGGGGGCGCCGGCAGGAGCGCTGGCCCCGCTCATGCTGCAGCCGCCCGAGCACTCTGTAGAGAGCCTCAGGCGGCTGCGGCTTTGCCCGAGCGGTGCGTCCATGAGGGCGGACTGCACCGCCCGGGCTCAGCATGGGGAGAGGGGCTGACAGGAGGGAAGCGCTCAGCTCTCAGCACTCCCTCCTGTCACTAACTCTCCTATAGCGTGGCCGAGCCCTCTATGGTATGGTCCGCGGGTACAGGGAGCATCTGTCTCCTGTACCCGGCCGGACTAACAGGAAGTGCACTTCCTGTTAGTCCAGCCGGGTACAGGAAACAAAAGCTCCCTGTACCCGCGGACCATACCATAGAGCTGAGTGTGCACTTCCTGTTAGTCCGGCCGGGTACAGGAAACAAAAGCTCCCTGTACCCGCGGACCATACCATAGAGGGCTTGGCCACGCTACAGGGAGGTAGGGGGAGAAATTGACATGGTGGGGGGGGGGGGGGGGGAAATGGACAGGTGGGGGGAAATGGACGGGGAATGGACGAGGGGGGGGAAATGGACAGGAGGGGGGGAAATGGACAGGTGGGGGGAAATGGACGGGGAAATGGACAGGGGAATGGACGAGGGGGGGAAATGGACAGGTGGGGGGGAGGAATGACAGGGGAGGGGTGAATTGACAGGGGGGTGAGACAGGGGGGGTGAATTGACAGGAGGTGAATTGACAGGGGGGGTGAATTGACAGGGGAGGGGGTGAATTGACAGGGGGGAAGAAATTGACAGGGAGGGGAATTGATGGGGGAATGAGAGTGGGGAGGGGAGAAGAGAGTGACAACAGGGGAGAAGAGAGTGACAAGGGAGGGGGGAGAACAGAGGGACAAGCAGGTAGAAGAGAGTGACAAGGGAGGGAGAAGAGAGGGACAAGAGAGGGAGAGGGGGGAGAAGAGATTGACATCCATCACACACACACACACACAATGCACCCCTTACACACAAAGACAATGCACCCCTTGCACACAGAAAAACACAATGCATTACACACACAGACACACACACACAAGCAATGCATCCCTTACAGATGCACACACTCAATGCATCCCGTACATACACAGAAACACACAATGCATTCCTTACACACACTCAATGCACCCCTTACAGATGCACACACTCAATGCATCCCGTACATACACAGAAACACACCTTGCAGCCCTTACACATACAAACACAGATTCAAAAAAATAAATAAAGGGCCTTAAAAAAAAATGGAGCTGCTTCCCTCCCAGAACATTGATTTTTGTGACCACAGTTACAAACAGCCTCCAGGGAGCCTGTTCTACACCAGACCAATGGAGCCAGACTGCAGCTAGAGCCCATCATCATCCTCATCTGGTTGTAAGTAGGCAATCTAGTATATTATTCGTGGCACTAATCTCTAGTCCCCAGAACCACTTCAGCTTAATGTAGTGGTTCTGGTGTCCATAGCCTGTCCCTGCAGGCCTTTTAATGTAAACACGGCGGCACTGCAGCACTGGCGTTAGTTAACATGGCAGATCATATGGGTGGGGCATTGTGATGTCACATGGGGGGAGGCGGCAAACTTTACTTTTGCCTAGAGCGGCATCCTTGCACCGGCCTTGTGTATGTGTGTATGGCCCTCGGGGCTCGTAAGTTTTTTGGGGGTTTTCTGGGTTTTGTTTTTTTTTTATATAGATGCGGATCTTGTTCATATTACTGTTACCACGCGTAATCGCCTTTGCCGAGGCTTGCTTATCAGAACTGCAAATAACGTGAGTGCGAGCTTAATGCACTTTGTTTAGACTCACATGTGCTTGTCTGAGCAGAGGCGTACAGGTCAAGGTAATCAGGCTATGATAGGTCTTAAATGTAGGTTGTCTATGCAAAGTTGAATATGTCAGAAATGTTTATTATTTCCTTCATTAATTTGGTAAAACTGAGGGTTCTGTATGAAAACAGCAATTACAGGCAACAAAATAAAGCAAATATACAAGTGTTACTAGCCAAGAGCATAAATGGTTAATTTAGCCATGCGAGGAAAGATTTACTCTTAAAGGGTCAATGAAACAATGTCAGAATCCTGCCTCTGAATGCTCATTACTTAAAAGTGCATGTGCGCTCCTCCATCGTCTTACTCTATCACCACACAATTTAAAAATAACATCTCAAGACACTTAAAATAAACATTGTGGATATTTGTGTGTTTTTTACGATACTGACATTGCGCAAATGCTTGGGTTTAGTATGTACTGGGAGAAGGCATGTAAACCCATGTTACCCTTTACTGACTGTATGAACTGTGCAGATAGTTAGACCATACCCGTATGCAGGTAATTATTTAACTAAGCAACACGTCATTCAAAAATATTTGCATAAAGTATTTGACGAACGACAATGGGAAGAGAAAATGTACAACGAGATTGTAAATTGTTAAACGGAAAATAGCCCTAACACGGCTATTTGCCGATTACCTGACGTTCGAATGTTTGGTGGTTTGTTTCTTTTTAGAAAACGTGATTAGAACTGCTGAACCACCCAGATAGCAGCATCACGTTGGCTGTCAGTTTACCAATAGCTCTATTTAGATTTTATGAATAAAACAACCTTGCATGTACTTGGTTCTGTCTCTTTCACAGAAAGTGAATAAAATGAGCACTTTCCAATCCTTGCTCCTAGATATCTTTTTTTTTTTTTTCAAGTCCACTGCTCATTAAATAGATCCCAAAACCAGCGACACAGTAAACGGGTTTTATTTTACTCATGTAAAGGTTTCACAGTACATGCTCAGTATCATTAAACAGCAACAAGTCTATGTATGAAATGTATTATTTTAGAATGGTATGCAGTATATTTATAGTAGGATTATAAAATACAAGTGCTTTCCTACCGAGGAATCAGAGGAATCGCTCCGTGTGTTTGAGTTACTTATTTGGTCAATGCATATATATTTGTGTACGCCTGTGATTGCGGTCTCATACGTGTGTTCTTATATCCAGTTAAGGGAAAAGTCGAACGGCGGGAATAGCCAGAACGCAGCTATTCTCGCTGGTTACCTGGTGTTCTTTAGTTTGTGAGTTTGCGAGTGTCTGTGGGAACGGAGGCTGGCGGGAAGCCGCAAGGAATGACGGGACCAGAGGCGCGCTGTTGAGCACCCGGAGGTTGTGCTGACGAGAGGGAGGCAAGCAGGCCAGAGCTTCCAGACAATGATGATAGGTAAACTGGGGTTACTGGGGATTTAAATAGGAAAATAACCCTCCCACAAATTCAGATAGAGAGATAGAGAGATAGAGAGATAGAGAGATAGAGAGATAGATATCTCACAATCCAAAAAGGTTATGGTGGGGAAAAATTGTGATTGAAAACCCCTTTCACCTGAAGTCTGTGGATAATTAATACAATGTTAAACAAAAATCTGCACACCAGTCAAGCCATAAGACTTGCTTTTCCCACAGAAATCCCATAACTGCAGCAATGTTACAACCGCAAAGGATTCTGGGTGGGCATATGCAAATTAGTTTAACAAAGAATCACATTTTTGCCTCATTCCATTTTAAACATGGATTCCCTTTAATCTGTGTTTGTTGTATACAGTTATGGGATTTCTGTGGGAAAAGCAAGTCTTATATATTCATAATCCATGTGCAGATGTTTTGGTACACAATCCCAGCAATTTGGTTGTGACTCTCTGTGTATGCTGTTCCTGCTAACATCTTACATCCATCTACTATGTGCTGGACTGTCTCAGAGACTGTGCAAAGAGGCCTCTGAGACAGTCCAGCACCTAGTAGCCGGATGCAGGAACAGCATACAGGGAGAGACACAACCAAGTGGCTGGGATTGTGTACCGAAACATCTGCACAGAATATGGATTGGATCTGCCTAAGTCCAGATGAGAGATACCACAAAGGGTAGTTGAGAATGACAGGGCTTGGATCCTGTGGGACTTCAAGATCCAGACAGACAAGCAAGTGCTGGCCAACCAACCAGACATCGTGGTGGTAGACAAGGAACGAAAGACTGCAGTCGTGGTAGATGTGGCAATACCCAGTGACTATAACATGAGGAAGAAGGAACATGAGAAGGTGGACAGTTACCAAGAACTGAAAGGATGTGGAAAGTGAAGGCAGTAGTAGTCCCAGTTGGGATAGGAGCACCCGGGGCTGTGACTCCCAAGTTGGGGGAGTGGCTTCAACAGATTCCAGGTGGGACATCGGAGATCACTGTCCAGAAGAGTGCAGTTCTACGAATAGCTAAGATACCGCAGAACCCTCAAAACCCAGGTGTCAGGATCTTACCTGATGGGGAGTCCGGCTCCCAGAGTTATACGCTCACCCTTGCAAAGTAGACACAGACCAGGGTGACCAGGTAAGACGCCACCTGGCCTGTGAGTCTGTGCACGGGGGCTTTCCAGGAAAAGTGCGCCAAGTCTCAGTACAGCAGGGATTAGCAGAAGCGTGGTCAAGGGAAGCCAGAATCAGGGAAGCCAGAGGTCAGAGTAGTCCAGGAGGAAAGCCAAGGTCAGAAGCCGGAATTAGACAGTAATCACTGGAACGCAGGTACGGAGTAACAGGAACCAAACAAGGGAACCAGAGTCAATGAACTGACACTGCACTCAGGGAGAGGCAGTGTCTTATACCTGGCTAATTGGTGATCAGCCACAGGTGTGCTGAGATCGTTGGAGCAGCCACAGAATAACGTCCAGCCCCCAGTGCTGGGTACAAGGCAAGATAGACTTCTGGCTATCTCTTGAGCTGATATGGTGGCTCAGAGGCAAAATAGCAGCCCCAGGACTGCAAAGTACCCTGGTTCAAGTCCGTCACCGGGCACTTCTGGGGCGACCTCGTCTGGCCGTCGGGATGTCGCGGTGAGAATCGTGACACCAGGCATGTGCGCTTTGTACTCAGAAAAAAAGGTAATTCGTTTAAACGTGTGCTCCACCAAAAAGCTGCAAGCCCTCCCTTGAACTATAACAAGTTGCAATCATAAGAACACAGTGGCATTACATTTTCATGTATGTGATATATTGCCGGACCTTGATTTGTTGGCTGAATACACTTCACTGAGGAGCACTGATTTGTTGATATTAAAGGCTGAGATCAGAAACTTTACCAGCAATCACTAGCACTTATATGGACTGGAGTAGATTAGAAAGTGAGTACTGGTCACAATTCAGTTGTCTTTTCATGTTCTGTGCTTAACATTGATCTAAGGGTTACATTGACTTTATATAGGGGACTAGACATTGGATATGGATGTCACCTGTGCTGAAACTATTATATACAATAACACATGTTATTCTTAGGCAGTTAAAGCCAGCATCTCTCAAATCCAACATGTTTGCCCTACATCATTGTATCCCACACGCTAAGGAAACAGTGCTAACAGTGTGTCATTTTATATTTCACCACAGTGATTATAATGACACAATTTTTCAACTCTTGTATTACAGTATGTTTTGATAGAAAATTGTACTGATATATTTTGTTTGCTTATTACGTATCACATATAGATAAACACTGTAAAAACATTATATACCAGCAAATACATTCACAAATTACAAATAAAGAAATATTAATATTTCACTGTAAGTCAGTTTTATTTCATATACTAAATCTATACGGAAGGAAAAAACATATAAATTATGTTTTCAGACTAATAACTTTATATAATTTGAGATGATTACTTTTATTTTCCCTTAAGATTTGTTATTGATTTTTATATTCGTAGCAGCTTTGATTGTAACATGAAATAAGTTGACTGATTTAATCATGTCTTCCTGCAATTGCTTCTTAAATTACCAGCACATAGTAAGTTAACTAACTAACTAACTAACAAACTAACAAACTAACAAGACAATGAATTTGTTTATTGGTCATTCTATTCATACTAATCTATGTATTTATCTATATTTCAGATTTACAAAACGTGAAAAATACAGAAATCATACTGACTTTACTATAAACCAGGATAAGAGCATTAATATCTCGAATACCGCAGACCCACTGGGTTTTTAAAACTTAACTTGAATCAGAGACAACTAAGGCATCATTTTTCAACCCATCCTACCCATAAATTCCCCTAAATTGTTCAGCAAACTGAACGACAACACCCACTACTGTCAGTACAGCTCTAGTATACATAAAGCTACATCATTGACTTTATCACAGCAGGGCTGAGTCCTACACCATACTACTTACTCTATTACTAAGCAGCATGGAATGTTAAGCTAATATAATTGACAAATGGTAAATATTACAGATAATCCTTTTATTTTTATAAAGTTAAATTAGTTAATATCATTATCTATACAGGATATGTAAGGTGGAGGGAATGGCCGGCCACTCTATGGCACACACTACATGGGATTCTAGTAGCGCATGTGACAACTAGGACCTAAAACCCTGTTTATTTACAGTTCTTACCAAAAACAGCAAACAGTCAATCTTGGAGGGCTTCCCTGGCTCGCCAAAGCAAACCATGTGCAAAGCTGTATTGCCATCATCATCACTCCACTTTACATCAGCTCCATGCTTTAGTAAAAGCTACATAGAAAGAAGAAGAAGAAAATGAGATTAGTTATCCATTTATGGCCCTCAGCTCATGCCAGCTGCATCTCTCTGATGGTTCAAATGAGCAGCTTGGGTTGGAACGTTAATGTTAATTCTGAAATATTCTTGTGGGTGAGATCTCACTTTATTTCCCTCAGTTGTGGTTTAGGTGAGCTAAAAATCTTTTGATACCCAAGTATGAGAAAACTAATAAACTTTTATGGTTCTATGTGTTTTCTGCGATTCTGTTTTGGCCACACAATTTGGTCTATTATGTCTCCATTTGCAGGATTTCTCTGAGCAACTTCAGAGATTCCACAATCTGCGGTGACTTGTTACCAAAACAGTAGACTTGTAGATATATTTCATTGCAAACAGCAATTCGACTGAATTTGGGCCATACGGATGAATTCCCAAACCGAAGCCGTATTGTAAATGAATCATGAAATAAGTGAAATGGCCAGGCCTTTTTGTTTTGATTCGTGATTTGGAACCAAAAAGATACATGACTGATGGGAAAAAAGATGACTGATGGCTAGGGAACAGTCACTCAATGGCTAATAGTGGAAAAACACGAGAGCATTAACAAATATATTATATATAATCTAATAATGTGAATTTTCTTTATTTTTTATTGGTTACAGTTTTCTCACTTGATCTGTGACCCAAATGGCAGGAATATGTGCCTATCATTGTACTGTAAAATATATCCATCATTTGCAGTACACTGATTTGACCATTTTCAAGCCCTTTTGGTTCTACTGATTGGTTTTCCAGAATCTTTCTTTGTTAACAAAATTCAGCTTTATTTTGGCAGAAGGGATTCAGGTGAAACAAACATTTCCACTATGTCTACAAAACAGTCAATGTTATTTACCAAAACATGAATTGTTAAAGTGCTACGGAATCTGTTGGCGCTATATAAATGGCAATAATAATAATAATAGTAATAACAGAAAATTACAAATTTTAGATAAACACTGGAACAATTTCTCCAAGACTACTAATTTTCTTACTATTAGCTACTTTTTGCCAATATTTGATATTTCCTGTTTAATTTGTAAAAATGATTTATTGATTGCTGCGGTGTGAGTTGATCATCTCTATGCACAATTTAGAGCAACATAACAAGAAAATCGGAGTTTGACATTTTCAAGTCTTCTATTTAGTCTGCAATGGTTGTTATATAAAATAAACTCTGCGTTTACTGACTTGACCCATTAATCATCAATTTGATATTAAAGGTGCATTACTACTAATACGAAAACCATGCTGTCTAGAACTTTTATTTTATATATTTTCTTTGTTCTTGCTTTTTGTAATTCTTGCACATATGAATTTGCCTCTGCGTCTTGCTTTATCAAAAAATAGCAAAAACAGATCAAATAAAAACACAGGCAAATACTGTGATACTTACCACTGTTTGAATTTCCGATTTTTATAAAACCACCTCAATTTTATTTAACTCTTCACCTTCTAGGCTACTTCACAACCATGTGCTATAGCGAGATTTAGGATTTTTAACTCACTGCATTTATAGACTAATATTTTTCTGTGTTATTCTCAAAAAATACCGTATATGTTGTTTTTCAATAGATCATACATTTTTAGTAAATAACTTTTGTTTACAAAAAATATCTAAATATCAAAAACAGCCAAAATACAAATAATAAAAAATAAAAAAATTGTGTGGTGTTCATAGAATTAAGAAATAAATGTGATGTTTCCACATCTAACATAATTTCAACTGTGAACATCACAGTCATCATATGCAGTTAAGGAGTTAAAAATATATTTTTGGGATAGGAAAAAAACATTGTCAATAAACATTATTCACTAACAAATTAAAATATAACCACATTCGGATAATAAAGACTATAATTCTTCCATGCTGAATTAGTCATCCTTCTATGGACCCGCGTTTTATTATTTTGCTGATGTGTGTATCCAACGGACATTTATTATTTCATAAACATATTTGCTTTAAGTACACATTACTTGTTTATTATATATTAAATCAGAACCGATGAGTTTTCATTTGGGAAATGTGTCAAAAATGACTTCACATCTGTGAAGAACAACTCATAAAATCCCTGCCAAGTTTTTAATGAAAGATTCCATGATGCTGATTGGCTCCCCTTTGTGTAACAGTTGTAATTATGTAAATATCTTAATTACAAACAAATTTAGAAAAGACAATGCAGCATTCTGTTACATTGTTACTATGGCAAATACATGAATTCATGACAGATTTATTACTATTTCGGAACAAAGAACAAAGCATTTTGTAACAATTCCTTTACACCAGTCATGTATTGCGGCAATGTAATTACGAGTGGGAAATGGTAGCCATTCTTCATGGCCATTATCTTTGCATTTATGTTTACTCAACAGTACTAAATGTGACTGACACTGCAAAGAACAGCAAGAAATGAAAATTCATTTTGGGGGATTCAGGTGATGATCATATCCATTGTGTCCAAAGATATAGATATGAAAACATTACAGTTGAATATGTAGGGTTAGTGTTTGCAGCAGGGTTAGTGTTAGAAGCAGGGTTAGTGTTAGGATTAGAAATAGGATTAGTGCTAGGGTTCATTAGTCTTAGCGCAGTATTAGGATATAGATGGTATTAAAGAACTGCTCATCTACACCCACTCATAGCTCTACCGTAGTCTTAACCTAAAGCATAGCCATAATCATAACTTTAGATTTAAATCCAACCATAACTATAGCCTTAACAAAATAACTAAACTGGAACCTAATCCTAACACTAACTCTTATATCAGCCCTAGATCTAGCCATAACCAACCCTAATCATTGCAATAACCCTAGCATTAACCCTAAGTCTTGAAAGACCATTATCAATATCCCACTAGACCCCAGACGAATAAAGTAAGACATGGGGTTGGTGGAGATCTACTGAGCAGCTCCCAATGGCAATAAATATTGTTATTGAAAACTATTGTTCTTTGTGTCTCCCGCAGTTGATTAGAATCCTGTATCTCTTACTGGCTCTGTCATTCTCTCCAATGTTTCTCTCATGAACAAATGCTACACATTTGGATAATTTTATCATTTCTATGAAGCAATATTCTAAAGTTATGTCAACTCTTGGATTTCTTTTTAATAAATAAGTGAGTAAAATGTTTTCAATAAATCAATCTCTAAAAAATTGCCAACAACCATGGATTTCTAGCTCATAACAAAGTCTTTTAACCAACATGATCGCGTTAATGCATTACAATATTTATGTCTCAAATTGTAGGTCTTTCCTGGTAAATCTACACGAACCCGTGATAGTTATCCTCATTACATATATATACCTTAATATGGAACTTCCTGAGCTGCTGATATTATAATTTAAAACAACTTTCAAATAATGCAGATCATTTCTTTTTTACCTGCTAAGTACAAGGGAAAAAAACATTTTAGCCAACCTATAATACATGGTATTAACTATCTCAAGTTCAAATACTCAAAAACTATACCAATTGCCAGTTTAACCTGATAATAAATTATAATCTACTGGGGAAATATGCTGATAGACCTTAGTCAGGACAGGATCTATACAATTTGGTTAATGACTGAGAGATTTGTGGAGAAACCTGAACCCTTAGGAAACACAACAAAATCCACTCAAGATAAACATTTCACTGTAGATAATACTACAATCAACACATACCTATGGCTGATCCCTTGAGAAACACAAACACAACAAAATCCACTCGATAAATATTTCACTGTAGAAAATACTACAATCAACACATACCCTATGGCTCTGATAAGTTAATGGTGGGACAGCTCTAGAGAGAGAGAACAAAACGGAGAACCTTGACTCATTAGGTAAAATGCAGTTGCTTTGTAAACATTCTGTGGTAGCCCTTTATATAAAATATGGTTATCGCTATACAATGCAGTTACTAGCACATTTATAAATACCATTTTGTTACATAAGGTTTCTGCTTTGAACCTCAATGAGATTGGGTTAGAGGAGAAACGTATATATTAACATGTCCATGGAAGAGTGCACAATTCACTGGTCCATTCTTGTGATACAGTACATAAAAGCTGATTTTAACAATGAACAATATGCACTTTGTCAGTATATGATGCAGGTGTTTAATACATTATATAAGTACATTTCTTTGGCAACATATGTCATATTCTGCTCATTTGCAACTAATTAGCTCATTAAAGCAGTAACTAAGAAGAACGTTTCATGCACAGTAAACCCTCAGGCAGTGGCCTATGGTGGCACATGAATGGATCAACATTGTTTGCTAAGGAGAAGAGACTTTATTTTGGATTGTTTATGTGTCCTGACATTCTCTAGGGATTCAGTATGCCAGGTATAATGATGCAATATCCCATCTACTGTCATGATAACTCACTTATGCCAGACCAAAGGGTAGTTTTTTGGTTAAAGAAAAAGTAAATCTAATTTTGCCTCTTTATAAATCAATGGTAAGACCCCACTTTGAGTTTTGGGCACCAGTTCTAAAGAAGGATATTGCAAAACTAGAAAAAGTTCAGAGGCAAGCTACAAAATTAATAATGGGGATGGAAAACATTATTTATGAAGAAAGCTCGAAAAATTGTATTTGTTTGCTTTATTTCTTTAGAAAAAAAAGGCATTGCAGAGGGGATATGATAGCATTTTACAACTATATTCAGGGTCAGTACAAATTACCATGTGCTAACATGTTCATTAGTAAGAATATACAACAGGCAAGAGGTCACCTATTGAGACTAGAAGAAACACATTTTCGATTACAGCAGAGGAAAGGATACTTTATAGTAAGAGCAATACAGATTTGAGGTTGTCTTATCAGATTCTGTGGAGACTTTTTTTTAAAGGGACACTATAGTCACCAGTGCAACTACATGTATTCCTGACCCTATAGTGTTAACACGACCATCTAGCCCCCTTGGGCCCCTCATGTGTCCATAATATAGTAAAAATCTTATAATATTCAAGCCAGAAGCTGTAAATCTGCATGCTGTTAGACTCAGAAAAAACAAGCAGTCTGCTGACATGTGATAGCCTGATCCAATCACAATGCTTCCCCATAGGATTGGCTGAGACTGACAAAGGAGGCAGATCAGGGACAGAGCCAGCATGATTCAAACACAGCCCTGGCCAATCAGCATCTCCTCATAGAGATGAATTGAATTAATGGATCTCTATGAGGAAAGTTCAGTGTCTGCATGCAGTGGGAGGAGATACTGAATCACAGGATGCTCGTGCACAGCAGATCTGAGTGGATGGAGTCATTCTGGTTCATTCTGAGTGACTGCAAATGGAGATGTTCCTAGCTTTCAATGAAAACACTGTATTTTCTCAGAAAATATAGTGTTTACATGAGAAAGGCTGCAGGGAGCTATAGTTCTCACCTGAACAACCTCATTAGGCTGAAGTTGTTCAGGTGATCATAGTGTCCCTTTAAAGTCTTGGGTATTTTATTTTTAAAAACTGAATTTTTAAGGATTTAATTAATATGATTGTGAACAGGTTGTTGATCCAGGTAGCGCAGTGGTTATATTCCTATTTGTATTCACGAATTTCTACATGTACTCCTTTCCTAAAACCCCTTTGATTTGTGATAGTTGACCTCAACGACCCAGGACAGCAACCACAACCTAACTACCTACACATTAATAAGGTTAATGGCTTGCTTGCTGCAAATTTTGCTCTCCTGCTTCTGGGACATGGTCCTTCCAATTTAGAATGATTTATTATATTCTCTAACCAGTATATGTCACCATTACCATTGCAGCAGTAAAGGGTGCATATACAATATTTCCCTTGAGGAAAGTCATAAGTTTGGGGCATTACTCTGTGAATACATTCAAATATTCAGGATAAAAAAAAACAGATTCTGCAATATATATTTGCCATAAACCTAAGTACCCTTTTATGTTTTATCTATATATTCCTGTTACATTATTCTCTTCACATTTTAGGAGCGTGGGATACAACTCAACATAACCTTAGAAAATGTTATTTTGTTTGCTGATGCTCTAACCAGGAGTACAGGAACGATTTGTTTGATAGTTGAAGAATTTCAACTCTAATTCAATTAAGGTTAGGGGACATTAAACAAAAGATGCCGGATGGCAATACTGATAATATAACATAAGATTTGCTGCTAGAATCTTAAGACATGAAACAGCACAGAACCTTACACACAGTCTCCAACCCCAGCAGCCCACACTCTTGTTGTTCTAAAGGGAATATCTATACACAGCATGAAGCATTAATAACTGGTTACAAGGCTTTCAATATAAAGAATTAATCTATCTGTATTTTACGGAAAAGCAGTATGTTGATTGTCATGGCAACAATTCACACAATTTTCGTTATATAATAACAGAGTCATATAAAAAAGTTCCTTGCTAATGAAAAGTACAAATACCTAAATCATAGTCGAACAACACATTATGCTGCAGCATTTTTTTTCCATCCAAGCATAAGACAAACAAAACTGTGACTTTAAAAAAAAAAGTAAAAATAACTTTATTAAAATCACAATTAATCTTACGAAACTTAATGCTTAAATTTAAAGTTCATTGCTCAGTATGATGTCCAACTGTGCATTAGAATGATGAACAAGTGTTGAATTTCTAAAAGCGTAACAAAAATAGCACCCAAAATGCTGTAATAGAAAACCTGTTCCTCCTGGATGATTTTAAAATAGTGTTATTAATAATTTTAATTAAATCTTGATGGTTTTCATACATACAGTAGTTGGTTGTGGGATAACTGAATTATATAACATTAGTGACATCTTAACAATATATACTCAAAATATAAACATAAAATTCCAAATATCTTTGAGTACCTGTCACGTGTGCAATTTATATGTTGCCTTGTTTTCCAGTTACTTGAAATTATTCCCAAACAATAATGTTGTTACTGTAAAGGGATTTAAAACTTTGCCATTTTTATTTACATGTACAGATTTGGCTGATTAAATTTTAAATTCTATCAATGTGAACTAACACATATGAAAACAAAGGTTGTATGTATTTGAGTCTACAATATTGGGGTTATTTCTAAAAAACCTTTTTTAACAAAGTTCATAAAACCAACACAATGGATTTTTTCCTGATGATTGTCACAGAAAGAAACACTCATAGCCACATAACAAATGTATTATACATGATAGTGGGGATTGTTATTGAAAAGCAAGTCTTATGGCTTGACTGGTGTGTGTATTTGTGTTTAGCAATGTATTAACTATCCACTTGCTTCAGGTGGAAGGGGTTTTCATCCACACTTTTTTCCCCACCACAATGCTTTTGGTATGTACTTTACAAGTAACCATAGTAACCAAGCCTCCATAGCAAGCCAGTAACCAACTTCATGCTGATGAGTTGCATTAACAATGAAATGGCTGTCCATGAGTGGTTTACTGGCTTTGCACCTCTCCCTGAGTTTATTTCAAAGCTGTTGTATACAGCAGGCACATACTCCAAGGAATCCAAATATAAAAGTGGAATAATGAGGCAAAAATGTGGTTCTTTTTTAAGCTCATTTGAATATGCCCACCCAGAATCCATTGCAGTAGTGAAAGCACTGTGAAAGTGAGCTTTCTGTGGGACTGGTGTGTATTTGTGTGTGTATATATATATATATATATATATATATATATTGCCAAAATACCAGAGTATTCCTCTCTTCCTCAAGTCTGAAGCCATACTGATCAATCTGATAGAGTTCAACACTTAACCCCTTAGTGACCAGACCGTTTTTCAATTTTCTTACCGTTAAGGACTAGGACCAGGGCTGTTTTTACATTTCTGCTGTGTTTGTGTTTAGCTAAATAGTTTCTAAATTTTGTCCTGAGTTTAGAAATACCCAATCTTAACCTGTTCTTAGCTTTTTTTTGCAAGTTATAGGGCTATAAGTACAAGTAGGACATTGCTGTTTCAAAATACACTGCTCAAATAAATAAAGGGAACACTTAAACAACACAATGTAACTCCAAGTCAATCACACTTTTGTGAAATAAAACTGTCCACTTAGGAAGCAACACTGAGTGACAATCAATTTCACATGCTGTTGTGCAAATGGGATAGACAACAGGTGGAAATTATAGGCAATTAGCAAGACACCCCCAATAAAGGAGTGATTCTGCAGGTGGTGACCACAGACCACTTCTCAGTTCCTATGCTTCCTTGTTGATGTTTTGGTCACTTTTGAATGCTGGCGGTGCTTTCACTCTAGTAGTAGCATGAGACGGAGTCTACAACCCACACAAGTGGCTCAGGTAGTGCAGCTCATCCAGGATGGCACATCAATGCGAGCTGTGGCAAGAAGGTTTGCTGTGTCTGTCAGCGTAGTGTCCAGAGCATGAAGGCACTACCAGGAGACAGGCCAGTACATCAGGAGATGTGGAGGAGGCTGTAGCAGGGCAACAACCCAGCAGCAGGACCGCTACCTCCGCCTTTGTGCAAGGAGGAACAGGAGGAGCACTGCCAGAGCCCTGCAAAATGATCTCCAGCAGGCCACAAATGTGCATGCGTCTGCTCAAATGGTCAGAAACAGACTCCATGAAGGCCCGACGTCCACAGGTTGGGTTGTGCTTACAGCCCAACACCGTGCAGGACGTTTGGTATTTGCCAGAGAACACCAAGATTGACAAATTTGCCACTGGCTCCCTGTGCTCTTCACAGATGAAAGCAGGTTCACACTGAGTACATGTGACAGACGTGATAGAGTCTGGAGACGCCGTGGAGAACGTTCTGCTGCCGTCAACATCCTCCAGCACGACCGGTTTGGCAGTGGGTCAGTAATGGTGTGGGGTGGCATTTCTTTGGGGGGCTGCACAGCCCTCCATGTGCTCGCCAGAGGTAGCCTGACTGCCATTAGGGTACCGAGATGAGATCCTCAGACCCTTTTGAGACCATATGCTGGTGCTGTTGGCCCTGGATTCCTCCTAATGCAAGACAATACTAGACCTCATGTGGCTGCAGTGTGTCAGCAGTTCCTGCAAGACAAAGGCATTGATGCTATGGACTGGCCCGCCCATTCCCCAGACCTGAATCCAATTGAGCACATCTGGGACATCATGTCTCGCTCTATCCACCAACGTCACGTTGCACCACAGGCTGTCCAGGAGTTGGCAGATGCTTTACTCCAGGTCATACAGGCATGTGGAGGCCACACACACTACTGAGCCTCATTTTGACTTGTTTTAAGGACATTACAAAGTTGAATCAGCCTGCAGTGTGTTTTTCGATTTTAATTTTGAGTGTGACTCCAAATCCAGACCTCCATGGGTTAAAAATTTTGATTTCCATTTTTTTTATTTTTGTGTGATTTTGTTGTCAGCACATTCAACTATATAAAGAACAAAGTATTTCAGAAGAATATTTAATTAATTTAGATCTAGGATGTGTTATTTTTGTGTTCCCTTTATTTTTTTGAGCAGTGTATATATATATATTTTAAATGTATCAACATCGACATTGTAACACTGTTATCTGTCATAAATCTCTGAATCACACCTCACATGTACATATTTTTTTAAAGTAGACAACCCACGGTATTCAATATGGGGTATGTCCAGTGTTTTTTAGTAGCCACTTAGTCACAAACACTGTCCAAAGTTAGTATTTATATTTGTTTGTGTGTTAAAAATGCCAAAAACTATTATGAACGCTAAATTTGGTCAGTGTTTGTGACTAAGTGGCTACTAAAAAAGAATGGACATACCCCATTTGCAATACCTTGGGTTGTCTACTTTCGCAAATGGTATGCCATCATGGGGGTAATTCACATTCCTGGGCTACCATATGGTCTCAAAGGCATCGTAACAAACCAGGCAAATTTAATGTGAAAAAACTGAAAAATGTAACATGCTATATTTGACCCTGTAACTTCCCAAAACACCATAAAACCTGTGCATAGGGGGTACTGTTTTACACGTGAGACATCGCTGAATACAAATATGTGTATTTTATTGCTGAAAAGCAATCAGTATTATGACATTCACAGTTAGAATGTCACGTAGAACTAAAAAATGTTTTTAAAGTCTTTTTTTCTCCCATTTTTTATATTTTATTTATATTAAATTATGTTTCATACCTAAATATTTGATGTTAAATGAAAGCCCTGTTTCCCCTGAATAAAATGATATATAATAAGTGTGGGTGCACATAATATGAAAGAGGCGAATTACGCCTGAACAGACATATAGCGCAAATTCAAGTTTTTGTTTACGTTTTGTTTTGATCACAACGTGTACATTTGGCTCAGTCCTTAAGGGGTTAAGGGATCATACTGATGATGTAACACTAATTGTTTTCATTTGATTGCAACACAAAACAATGCATATGATGCAGCAACAATGGATGGATATGATCAACAAGAGTTTGCATAGTAACAGACTAATGGTTCTAAACTCCCGGTCAATACTCAAAATGTTCTATATCAGTAGAATTTTGCACAATTCTCTGTAATTTATTAAAGTTGAAAAAAGTGCTGCTGAGCATTTTTTAAATTTAAAGAATGTTGTCAGTTGCTAATATCATGTATGTAATCTGGTTCTCTCTCAAAAAAGATTAAAAACCACAGTTAGAAATCAGTTTTTGTTATCTTTAAATACTACTTAACCACTTTTATAATGTCTTAATTTTCCAACAACCAGTGGCGTACATACCGGGGTCACAGGGGTCGCGGCTGCGATATGTACCCAGTGTGGCCAGCCTCTGCTCCTGGGGGGCCGGCCCCCCAGGCTGGCCCTGGTGTCACCCGGCGGGCAGGCTGGCGGGCGTGCGAGGGAGCACTCTCCCCTGAGTGCTTCCTCTTCAGCTCCCTCGCGCACCGCACTGATACCGGAGCCATAAGATGACATCATATTCCGGCTCCCAGCATCAGTGCGGTGCGCGAGGGAGCTGAACAGGGAGCACTCAGCCAGGGAGAGTGCTCCCTCGCACGCCCGCTAGCCTGCCCGCCGGGTGACACCACTGGACCCCAGGGAATCCCCTCAGCTCTCCCACAGGTAAGGAGGCTGGGGGCGATTAAATTTTTTTTTTTTAAACGTGTGTGTGTGAGTTTGAGTGTGTCTTAGTGTGTGTGTTAGTGTGTGTGAGTGTGTGTGTGTGTAGAGTGTGTGTGTGTTAGTGTTAGAGTGTGTGTGTGTGTTAATGTGTGTGTGTGCTAGTGTGTGTGTATGTTAGTGTGTGTTAGTGTGTGTTAGAGTGTGAGTGTGTGTGTGTTAGAGTGTGTGTGTGTGTTAGTGTGTGTGTGTGTTAGTGCGTGTGTGTCTTAGTGTGTGTATGTTAGTGTGTGTGTCTGTTAGTGTGTGTGTGTGTGTGTGTGTGTGTGTGTGTGTGTGTGTGTGTGTGTGTGTGTGTGTGTGTGTGTGTGTGTGTGTGTTTGTGTGTGTGTGTGTGTGTGTGTGTGTGTGTGTGTGTGTGTTAGTGTGTGAGTGTGTTAGTGTGTGTTAGTGTGTGAGTATGTTAGTGTGTGTGTGTGTGTTAGTGTGAGTGTGTGTGTGTTAGTATGTGTGTGTGTTAGTGTGTGTGTGTGTGTGTGTGTGTGTGTTTTAGTGTGTGTGTGTGTTAGTGTGTGTGTGTGTAGTGTGTGTGTGTTAGAGTGTGTGTGTGATAGTGTGTGTGTGTGTTAGAGTGTGTGTGTGTTAGAGTGTGTGTGTTAGTGTGTTAGTGTGTGTGTCTGTTACTGAGTGTGTTTGTTTGTGTGCGTCTGTTAGTGAGTGTGTATGTATGTCTGACTGTCACTGAGTGTGTCTGTCAGTAAATGTATGGGTCTGTTAGCTAGTGTGTATGCGTCTGTTCGTGAGAGTGTGTGTGTGTCTTAAGCACTTACCTTTCTCCAGCGCAGGACTCCCTTGGCGCTGGGTATCCCTCCGCCACGATCCGCCTCTCGGCTCCGAATGCGCATGTGCGGCAAGAGCCGCACGCGCATTCAAACCGCACATATGTAAGCATTACTCAATGCTTTCCTATGGACGTTCAGTGTCTTCTCACTGTGATTTTCACAGTGAGAATTGCGGAAGCTCCTCTAGCGGCTGTCAGTGAGACAGCCACTAGAGGCTGGATTAACCCTCAGTGTAACATAGCAGTTTCTTTGAAACTGCTATGTTTTCAGCTGCACGGTTAAAACTAGAGGGACCTGGCACCCAGAGCACTTCATTGAGCTGATGTGATCTGGGTGTCTTTAGTGGTCCTTTAAGTGTATGTGTATCTGCATGCACTGGAGTACATACCGCGGTCATGTGTTGCGGCCCCAGCCCGCGCAGAGTAACCGGGGCCCACGGATCAGTTTCGCACCGGCGCCCCAAGGGTTGTGTGTACACCACTGCCAACAACCCATATCGTGTTTTCTATGATGTCCAACAAACTTACCAGCTATCAACTTTATTTTCTCATCTGCATTCTTTAAATATAGCAATTGGTGCATCCACTAGATTATAAACTCATGGGCTTCAGGAGAGGCGTGACAGCTTTTAGCACTGAATCATTTGTAAGTGTTTCCAGTAACTAGGATATATATATCTCCAATATGGATTGTTAAGAAATTTACAACATGTTGGACTGAAATGTGCAACCCACATCATTTTTTTAATGGTTTATCACATCAAAGATTCAGGTTGTTTTACTAATTTCATTTACTTCCTAAATTTATTAAACAGACTTTTCAGGTACTTGTGTCAAAAAAAGCATAGCACAGTTACACACAAGGTGACCTTAGGTGCCCCCTAGAGCCCAGGCTTTATACGGGGGCACAGAATTATACATTTTATTGGCTCCATTGTGAGGGATGAAAAGAGGCTCCCAAACAAGTAATCTGCCCGGGGGCCTGTGAGATTTTAAAGGGACACTACAGACACCCAAACTACTTAAAGTAGTCTGGGTGCATTGTCCCTGTTCCTTAACCTTGCAAGGTAAACATTTTAGTTTCTGAGAAACTGCAATAATTACATTGTAGGTTAACAGCCACCAGAGACATTTCCAGGTGTTTCACAGAGTTCATATGTTTGAAACAATGCTGGACACCCTTATACTTTACATGAGGATGCAAAGTGTCTTGAAAATCCCCATAGAAAAAACGAAAACGCATGTGACATTAGGAACCTCCATCGCCGAGACGTTACGGGAGGAGGGACCAATCCAGTGCTGATGGTCTGCGGCACTTCAATCGGGTAAGTAAAAGAAAGGGTTTTAACCCTTTTATGACCGGTAGGCCGTGGAGGCAGAGGGATACTAAAGTTTTGTATTTCTATCACTGTTGTGTTCATTTAAGCCAGGGGTCCTCAAACTGTGGCCCTCTAGATGTTGCTGAACTACAACCTCCATGGTTCTTTGAATTATGTAGATAGCCAGAGAAGTTCAGCAACATCTGGGGGGAGTTTGACTACCCCTGATTTAAGCCTTCTCTGAGAAGAAGAAGAAGAAGAGAAAAGGTGTTTTTTTTTTCTTTTAACTTTTACATCCATCGATATGAAGAAGTACTGCACAAGCAAGCCTGAGCAATATTACTTGAGCACATGCAATGCTTTTCTGTTGGTTTCATTGGTGGAAATGTTTAACCTTTTTGGATATAGTTTATAAGACTGCCGATAAAACAGGAAAGGAATATGCAATAATACCTGCATTATTTTCACATCTCTGCTGCGTTGCAAAGCGGTTGCCCCTCTGTAATCTAATATATCTACATCAAGTTGTAAATGCAAAAGTGTCTGAAAAACAAAGAAGAAAAAATAAATTAAAATCTCTACTAGTAACATTAAAAGGCAAATAATAAACTTTTTGAGATATCCAGAGGCCAATTCAAAGGTGGCTTGTAAAACACCACCATCATGCTATTCACTGAAAAACTGAGTATTGGGGAAAAAATATCAACTTAAAGTAACACTGGCAACATAATAACTTCATCGCAAGGTGAGTTGGTTATGGTGCCTGCTGGTCCTAGGTGTTGTCTTACCTTGAGGGGTAAAACAGTTTCACACTAAAATTGTGAAGATCAGTATGGGGGACCACCTGGCACCCCGCCTGGGTATCTCCGCCAATTGCGCTTCCTAGTATTCGCCGAGCACCATAAGCACCACAGCGGACACCGTAACCACTCTAGCCCTCTTAGCTGCCACAGCTTGGCTGGGTTCTCGCCGTTCCTTCCCACCCTGGACCAAACACCTGGATCCAGCTTCCAGTGGGAAGACCTCTCCTCCAAAAGAGTATCGCTGTATAGCCAGTAAAAAAGCAAGTGATATAGCAGTACAGCTGTTCCCTCCACACATGAGCCAATGCTTAATGCTGGGAGTCATCTGTTTTATTCAGGGCCACACACAGCCTTTTATGCAATAGCCCATGCAAGGGGTTTCCAATACAAGAATACAGGGAAATCCCATCCATGATCCTTCGTGCCTGAGAGATAATTATCTGAGAAGCAAACATATAATTAAATTATCTCTCAGGTACAAAAAAACATACAATTTACAAACATCCCTAAAGTATCCCCAAAATTCATAGAAACCCCACAAAAGTTACATTCTCGGATAGACCTGATCTGGGTGACCAACATATCCAAAAATCACCCAGATCGGTTCAGTGGTTCGGTTTTTCCATGGAAGTCAATTATTTGACCGACCGCACACATGGTCCTATGCCCAAAACCGTTTCATGAAATCAGTGCTAATGGTTGGTCTCTTTGGGAGTATAAAAGTGCATAAAATACTGAGCATAACATAATTACAGTGTGTAACTTGTTCACCTCATTCATGGGAATGATTCCACCGAACAGTGCCCCTCCAAGTTGTATAGAATTGAACGCCGGCGATTATGAAAGTCCTGTAGTGTTTAGGAGTTTGAGTGTCCGATTTTAGTTCCATGAACTCGTCGACTAAACACCGCTGCCTGCGTTCATGCGAGCAAGATGGCCGCCACCTCATGGTCATTCATAAGAATTGCGGCCACCCAGACGAACAATTAGAACACTGCGGTGGAACTTGTTTAAAGGTGTAAATTGGGCTTAACAAGCACATGGGTGATCTCTGGTTCATGTGGTTGTTCGGTTCCTGAACAATATAATCAAAAATCACACAAACAGAGCCTTTTAAAGTGTATTTTGCAGGGCCCATATTCCTGAGGTAGTAGGCTGGCAAGCAGGCTCCTCCAGGAGCCCGTGGTGAGGTTATGTTCGCCACAATCAGCTTATTATTGGCACCAATAATCGGCTGAGTGTGTTAAATTGCACCTATTACGAGCTTTCCAATCAGTGAACTGTCTTTGAAAGGTACATATCTCAATGAAGCTGGGGGCATGGGGAAGGACAGGCTGACGGGCACCAACCTTCAACTATGAAAATGGTTTAATTCCCTGTGGTAAGATGGCAGCCAGGACCGGCAGGCACCCTAGCAACTATAAGTGGTGGGTGTCTCTTGAAACCCCGGTGAAATAGAACATTTTAATACTTATCATATTTAACGGTACAGTGGACAGAAATGCAGAATTAGTATTTCAATTAAGTGCAACCTCAGGTTTTCCATTAGGCAGAAAGCCTTTGGACCTTATACCAGTTATCAGAGAAGGATCATTTTACTAACATGAGGGTTCTTGGAAGATGATCTATGATCTATTTAATGGTGCACTGCATTGTGCAAATTATTATTGTTATTGAACTTTCTCTGTCATTTATTACTATTATTATTATTATTATTGCGATTTATATAGCACCAACCGATTCCGTAGCACTTTACAATATTATTAGGGGGGGATTTGACTATAAATAGGACAATTACAAGAAAATTTACAGAAACGAAGGGTTGAAGAGGGCCCTGCTCAAACGAGCTTACAGTCTATAGGAGGTGGGGTATAAAACACATTAGGACAGGGAAAGGAAGTCAAATTAGGTGGGAGTGGAGCAGAGCTGGAGGAGATAGTAGAGTGCTGCCCCTTAGGAGAGAGCAAGATGCAAGTATGAGAGGTAGAGGTTAGTCTGGGAGGCCATAGGCTTTCCTAAAGAAATGAATTTTAAGGCACTTCTTAAATGATTAAAGACTAGGGGAGAGTTTGATGGCGGTAGGCAGGCTATTCCATAGGACGGGAGCCACCCGCGAAAAGTCCCGCAAGCGCGAGTTGGCCATATGGGTATGAGCGGCGGACAGAAGGTGGTCACGGGCAGAGCGGAGGGTGAGGTGTGAGAGGACTGACTAGAGAGGAAAATCAGTCTGGCGGCAGCATTCATTACAGACTGTAGCGGGGCAATACGGCTATTAGGAAGACCAATTAGGAGAGAGTTACAATAGTCCATGCGAGAGATTACTAGAGCATGGACGAGCTCTTTAGTAGCATCTTGTGTAAGAAAGGGGCGGATGCGGGCGATGTTTTTGAGGTGGAATTGGCATGGTTTGACAACAGACCGGATGTGAGGCTCAACGGTGAGGCCACAGTATACTGACACCAGAGCTGTCACACATGAATTTATATATATTTTTATTTTTTTTAAGCACAAGGGATCCAACAAGGAATTTTGCTTTTTTGTGAATATGTATTTCCTATTCTGTGCATCAAAAATTGTAACTACATGTAATAAGTTACATTGGCATAAATAGCTAATTCTTGAAAAAAAAAATCTATTTTTGGATACTAGGGGTTGCACACTTTCTTTGAGTATTATATCTAAATATCTGCTTCTGCTGACTTAATAAATATATGCCATTTTAGATGTAAATAAAATAAAATAATTATAATAAAACTTTTGGCAGTAGGTCAGTCCAGAGAATATAAGAGCGTCTGAACAATGAAGGTAACTGCCACAGGCCCATACAGGATCAGCCAAGTCACAAGCATGAGGCAAGTCTCATTTGGTCCCCAAATAGACATCCTGAGTCCCAAGTTCCAACCAGGGTAGCAAAGATCAGGAACCCACTACTACCCAGCCATCAGGATAATAGGTGAGCATGGGCACAGTACCTTCCAAGCCCCAGTTCCCATGTGTGGGCTTCTGTAGAGTGGAGGTGGTGGAAGAGAGTTGACTCTTTGAAAACACTCCTAGTGAAGATCAGCGGTGCAAATTTCCTGAGTGTTGGTAATTGTGTTGCTTTAGTAGGCCTGGGCCCTCTGTCTGGGTGATGTTTCTGCGATGTATATTGGGGTAGGGGCGCTTGTCAGGGACGTATTAGCCATGAGGAAAACAAGGCATTTGCCTTGGGCGGCACTTTCCAGGGGGCGGCAAAAAAAGCCTGGCGGCTAACTGACAATCCAGGCGGGCAGGGGGCTAACTAAAAATCCATGTGTGCGGCATATTCCGGCTCCGGCATCACTCAGCGGCGCGCAAGGGAGCTGAACAGGAGAATCAGTGCTCCCTCGCCGCCTGCAGTCACCGGCCGGCCGCCCAGCACCCCAGCAGCCCAGCAGCCTCACTGGACTCCAGAGAAACGAGAATCCACCCCAGCATTCCCAAAGGAGGCTGAGGGGATGCCGAGTGAAGCACAAAACCAGGATACACCACTGGCGCTTGTTTCACAGACTCCTGTCAGCTTTCCAACATCAGCCAGAAGTTGGTGCATAATGAGTCGAAGGCTGCCAGAACATCCCATCGACGCTCAGCATGTGCTGCCCCCCATGTGGACACTGCCTTACCGCCTTCCCCTGCCATCAGGTAGCAGGAGGGTCCATGAGGATCCACTGAACCGACTGCCAGTGATTGTAGATGCCAGGATAACCCTCTCTGGCGGGGGTGGGGAACAAGACTAGTCAGGTATAGCCCTCTCCCAATGGACACAGGGCAGGAAGATCGGCCTCCTCCTCGACACCCCAGCCCTCAGTTAGGCCTCCACTTTAGTTTTCACTTTTGCTTCACTGCGAGCAGTGAGAAGCACGCTGTGCATACTGGGCACGTCCTCCAAGGTCCCAGTCTCTACAATTTATAAGTGGTGTGCTTCCAATGCATCAATTTAGGTGATTTTAATAAGTTTTGGCACGTAGATCATGCAAGACGCATCCGTCCAGTATGGCGGTCAAGCCCCGCCTCCCCCCAAACAGAACATTTTTACACAAAATTTACAAATTAGTTGTCAACTCCCCACAGCTCACTGTTTAATGAATAAGCCCTATAGTGTATTTTACATCAACCCTGTGCAAAAGAAAGTTATTTATCTTTTTTCTAGATTAAATATATTCAGTCAGTTAGGACCCTTTAATAGGGAAATATCTATGAACCCTATAGAGATTGAAGGGTGTTTATGGAACAGTTAAATGCGGTTTAAAAATCTTTTTAAAGTTTCATTGTATTTAGTGATAGCTTCGTGAAATTATTAGCTAATAACTTAACTGTCCATCACTCACCTCAACGAGTTCTGCTTCTCCATAATATGCAGCCACATGCAACAGTGTGCTTCCATCAATACACCTGGAATATACAACAAACAGATCACAGAACCTTCTCACAACACAACAACTTATGTTTTTGAAGTGACATATTTTCTGTTTAGACTTTTGTAGCATAGATAACCTCCATACACACACAGTACATGTATTTAAATAGCTGAAAATCAATGAAAAGTAGAACTGAACTATATGGTGTGCCCAGCCTACACATCATTGTTCTAAGAAATCTCCATCCTGAGCTCTAAGCAGCACTGTCACGCCATCCCAATAAAAAAATAGTATTTCATAAAGATAAAATCTTTATGAAATACTCCTTTTCACTGTGTTGGAATTTCAGTCCAACCCAATCAAGAGAAATACAGAGACAAAGTAAGGACTAGTTCGTCTCTGTATATTTCCTCCAGCTGACTATCTTAGACTTTGGACAAACTACAGTGTCAATCCCGACAACCGTCAGCAGTGACAGCTGCAGGGAATTGGCTCTGTTTATGGAAGAATTCACAGTCTCGTTGGATCCTCTATAATCCTCGATGCTGTACTCTTGCGCATGCTGAAGAGGGTCTGATGGAAGAAGATGGTGGAGCCCGCAAGGGACAGGTTCAATTAAGAAAATCTCATCTTTACCTGCCCCACCAGTGACTGAACTCCACAGCGGTGATGTCACCGTCAGGGGTCTTTGTGAAATTGTCAAAATCCCCAGACAGTGACAGTGCCACTTTAACAAGAGCATTATCCAAAAGTCTGGATAAAGAACCTAAATAAAACAAGTGGCATCACTCAGGAACACTTAGTACAATATATTTAATCTCCTTTTATTTACAATCGATCTTTTGTTTAATTTGCTTTTCAGGCACCTGGACATGATCCCACATTTACAGACCCAGGCATGCTCTACGTGTCCATTTAACTAATAATTTAAGATATTGTTTAGAGTGCATACCTACTTTTTCGTTTTTGGTTTTATAATTGGAAAACCTTTTTTTATTGACGTATTTAGCAATTCTCTACGGATATCTTAAATAGGCTTACTTGCTAAATCAAAGTATTTCATACGTATTACGTGAATGACATCTATTTCCTAAATGAAAAGATTGATGGCATGCATTCAATAATATCTATCAATATTTGTGTCCACCAGCTCTGTGTTCTGCATTGTATCACTTTGCAGATTAAGAGCTAGACACTCATAATAACATCATTAATGGATTTTGAGAATCCTCCAGCAAGCCAATTAGGAGGAAAAAAATGTGCAACTATGTTGGAGTCTGCTTAGCTCTCCACTTCCTGAATACTCTGGATAAAATTCTATTTTTAGATTATGACAACAACAAAAAAAATGGCTGGGAAGCATAGATATGTGTCATATCAGTCAAGATATTTTTATCTCTAACATTACTTGTTCATAGTGCTTTATTAAAAGCATTGAACAAAAAAACAAAAACATTTTATTCCTGCTATGAAATAAAACAATAGTATATATGTTACATAGCTACATATAGTTACATAGCTGAAAAGAGACTTTCGTCCATCAAGTTCAGCCTTCCTCACATATGTTGTTGCTGTTGATCCAAAAGAAGGCAAAAAAACCAGTCAGAAGCGCTTCCAATTTTGCAACAAACTAGGAAAAAATTCCTTCTTGACCCCAAAATAGCAGTCAGATGTCTCCTTGGATCAAGCAGCTATTACCCCACTAATTAGAAATTAAATCCCTGTATCTTATGTTTTTGCAAGTATTTATCCAATTGCAGTTTAAACATCTGTATTGACTCTGACAAAACCACCTCTTCAGGCAAAGAATACCATATCCTTATTGCTCTTACTGTAAAAAACCTTTTCTTTGCCTTAGATGAAATCTCTTTTCTTCCAGCCTAAATGCGTGACCTCGTGTCCTATGTATAGCCCTGTTTACGAATAGATTTCCAGATAATGGTTTGTACTGGCTCCGAATATATTTGTATAATGTTATCATATCCCTCTCAAGCGCCGTTTTTCCAAACTAAAGAGATTTAAATTTTTTAACCTTTCTTCATAACTAAAATGCTCCATTCCTTTTATCAATTTTGTAGCTCGTCTCTGCCATTTTTCTAGTGCCATGATATCTTTCTTGCCCAAAATTGCACAGCATATTCAAGGTGTGGTCTTACCAGCGATTTATAAAGAGGCAAAATTATATTTTTATCTCGAGAATTTATGCCCCTATTTATACATGACAAAACCTTACTGGCCTTAGCAACGGCAGATGTTGTTTACATGTCTGCTACATTTAATATTCTGTTAGTGGCAGGGCCGGCTGGCCCACCGGGATACCGGGAAATTTCCAGGTGGGTCGCTGCACTTATGGCCAGGCAGGTAGGTCTAATACCAATTCCTAATACAATAAAAAAAATCACAGTGGAATTATTGAGGAAAGTGCTGGGGGCTGCTGTTACTGCATAGAGGCTATGGCGGCCGGAGGGAGCACTGTAGGGAGGGAGCTTTCTGTGCTTCTCCTGCACTCAAGTTCCACCCCAGTTCTCAAGATCCACCTCCACACACTAGCTCCACTCCACCCCAGTGGGAAGAGGCCAGGAAATGGAGTCTTCACCTCCTAGGGCTTCTACAGCCTTCAGTGCAAGGTAGGTTTCAAATATACTGAAGCTAGTGAGTGAGAGTGATCTTGTGGGTGTGTGTGTGCCTGCTAGTTAATGAACTTGTATGTGTGTCAGTGAGATTGTCTGTAGCGAGCTTCAATGTGTGTGTCAGTGAGCTTGTATGTGTCAGTGAGCTTGTCTGTAGTGGGCATGTGTGTGTCAGTGAGCTTGTCTATAATGAGCATGTGTGTATGTGTTTCAGTGAGCTTCTCTGTAGTGAGCTTGTATGTGTGTGTCAGTGCGGATTTTAGAGTGGCCTTTCATTGTGGCCAGCCTAAGACAAACCTTTGCAATAATCATGCTGTCTTATCAGCATCTTGATATGCCTCACCTGTGAGGTTGATGGATTAACTCGGCAAAGGAGAAGTGCTCATTAACACAGATTTAGAGAGATTCGTGAACAATATTTGAGATAAATAGGCCTTTTGTGTACATTGAAAAAGTCTTAGATCTTTGAGTTCAGCTCATGAAAAATGGGGGCAAAAACAAAAGTGTTGCGTTTATAATTTTGTTCAGTGTATATATATATATATATATATATATATATTTACACATACACACACACACAAACACTACCGTAGCATAATGACTTATAGGACTGGCATACATTTTTTTCCAGGGCTGCTTTAGATTCCCAGCCCAGCCCTGGTAAGTGGAGATTTTAGCTATTCCCTTTCCTGATATAGGCACAAATAATTGTTGCATCAATTACTCAATCAGTAACCTGGAAAATTGTAATAGTAGGGAATGCATGTGTGTTTAAAATGTTCCCATACATGCACAGACCAACAGTTTTGTTTAGATGTTAAATGTGTATAAAAATGTAAAAGAAAAATAACAAATACAAAAACATATATATTAAAGACATCCCAAGCCTTCTCATATTTAGGTAGGGGCCATTGTTTGGAGGCATTGATGCAAGTCAGATTGAGAATCCCCTGTCTTATAAAATAGTTAGGATGTTTTTATTATTTGTAACAGCAGAACTGAGCATCCCTTGGAATCGGTGAAATTCAATCTAAAAAAATCCAGTTCCGGTAGCCAAAATCAGTGATTTAGTATGCAGATCTAAGTTTCCTTCTGTGCAGGAATTCGGAAAATATTCTTTTAAACGTATGATGCCATGCATAAGCAAAGCAATGGTTGCCAAGAAATCAATACGTAATCCTACAGTGCAGAACACATTTAAAATTGATCAACTCAACGGTCAGTAGTTTGGAGAAACTGTAGATTGGTGCATAGACATTTTCGCATGACAATAAATCTTTACACTATATGGAAAATGTATGTATGTTGCTTTCCACAGTTAAAAATGAGAATATATGCAGACAAAACATACATACATAACCTCAGAGGTTTATTTTATTGGAAAAACATGGCAGAGGGCAGGAGGTGCAACAAAAACATTTACTGAGTTAGTTGAGTGCTTATATGATGTTGAAACTGTATACCAATACCCAGACTAGCAGCCCATTTGAGAAAAGTCTTACCAATGAGCATTTAAAATCAAGTACATGTACATATACACAAACACACATGGATCAGTTCAGTAAAAGTCAATGTGGAGCACCTTTCACCATAAGGACTGAGAGACTAGCTGACAGTGTGTATCGGCTTTTGTTAATTTTGTTGAAATTATTGGGGTGCCATTTAGCCTGTATTACAATGTTTGGTTTAAATTTTCTTTCCCTTTATACTTTTTAACTTACTTTCCCCTTTTTCTCTCTGCATTGTATCAACTTGCAAATGTTTTTTTTCCACATAGGTATAATATATGTGGCACCATACCTTGAAATATATTTTTTCTTCTGGATCCATTGCTTTCTATTGCTTGCGTCGCTCGTGTTTTTATAGCAAATCCCTTGTTTTGAGCATAACTCTCACCAACTCTGTTCACATTGACTATTTTTTTTTTAAATTCTTCATTTTTGTTGTGCAAACATTTGACATAAAAGCTTGTTATGCTACAACAGCAAATACAAGTCTTGCAAGAGGTATAATACTGTGTAGACATGTGCAATTCATTTAGTACCGAATGTACAGTCGGATGAATTTTGCGCAATTCGGACATTCGGATGCCGAATTTCCGAAGTGCCGAACCGAAGTTCCGAATTGCCAAAGTTCTGAATTGCTTTGGATTTCTGAAAAGTGACAAAACAAAGTGGTTAAGTGTTAGGGTTTAGGGGTTATGGTTTAGGGGTTAGGGGCTAGGGTTTAGGGTTAGGATTAGGGTTCCGAATTGCCGAAGTTCCGAATTGCCGAAGTTCTGAACCGAACTTAATGCCATTGGTCCAAATTGCCAAAGCAGACAATTTTTTTTTTACTTCCCGAATTTCTGAACCGAACCAAATGTTTTGCCCATGCACATCCCTAATACTGTGGTATGCGATAGAACTTTTTTAAAGTAATAAACAGGCGGATACAAGTTATGTCAGCTAATAAGAGGGCAATAAGGTTGAATGAGATATATTATTTAGGCTGACATTAAAATAGTCAAAGAAACGGGAGCCTGGCAGCCGAGCTGAACGGCCGCACACACTGTGAGCTCCGTGCAAACAGGCTCCTAAACAAGCTATTATTACAAAACTGGGACTCAAAACCTATATCCCTGGACACCACGGTTTCGGGAGAAATCTCCAGCTCTCAAACCAGTGGAGTTTCTGACTATGAGCAGCAGATAAACCCAGAGGGGACTTTGAGGCCTACAAGGGGCCTATGGGCAGCGCACGAGAGGGAGGCGGCCAATCCCTCAGCCTGCTCTCAAGCACTTAACTGGGAGGACTAGCATGTAACCTCTCCCCCCCAGATGGTGGGGGTTATCCCGGCAACTTCCAACGAAGTATCACTGGTAAAGCTCCCGCCACTACGCACCTGGGACGACCCACCTGCCATGGCCAAGATGGCGGACGCCTCGTGCAACTCATCGGCACGACCTACACAACTAACCCTGCAGGAGAAGCTAGACATCCTGCTTGCAAACTTCTGGGCCACACTAGCCACATGCCGGCACAAGCCTGCTGAAACCCAGCCAAAGCCAACCTTACCGCGCATATCTGAGCAGCCCGCAACTCCTGGGCAACGCTATGGCACAACAAAGCCACCAAAGACAAAGCGGATGCCATGTAAACAAACCCATAGTCGCAGAATCTTCCCAGCAAAGTCCAGCAACCGCCCTAAACCTTGGTTCCAACCAGAAAAACCACCAGGACACAACCCATCACCTCGGAAGTCCAACATCCCCCGCAACTACATGCGGCCCCCTACAGGGCTTCGAGGTCAGATCACAGCCCCAAAAGGGATTAATGAGACTGGCGGTATGGGCAATGTAAGGGCACGCAGCGGGTGGAACGCCGAGGCACGGGACTGGAACGCCTCTATTAGCCGGGACAGTGCCCATCCTATGACAGAAGTGGGCTAAACGTCGGGGGGTCGTACCTCTCCTTTTGCACCCTGCAATACCAACGGCAGATTTTTTTTAGTCACTGTTATACAGTATTTTCTTTGCCTTACTCTAGTACGAACCACAACACACTACAACACATGTCCATACACGGCTAACACACGCCGCCTTATCTTCCAAGCACAACACAGGTGTAACGACATACAGCACCCAGTGATCACACTTAGCCTCCACAGTCTGTCAAGCAGGCTCTTTATAATGTCTCATTGTTTAAAAGTATGTTATACACCAATGTACATGTAATGCCCGAGAATACAATGAAACACATAACCAACACTGCCATACACGCTTGGCCATATGTGGCATAGGGTACCACAGAATTCTAATCTCAATCCTCTGTATGACTTTACTCTCAGTGATATTTTGTTTTAGCTCATCTTGTTTTAGCTTAATTTGATTCATATTCTCCTGTGAGCTCTTGCATGCTAATACTCATGGGTATAATGCCCTTAATCTAATTCAGTTTATTCAACCAGTGCTTTTACCTCACATTTATCCTGTTAACTCTCTAAAATTAAGCACTAGCACTGTGTCTTCCTAGCTTGAATAATTATTATGAAATGTGCAGACTAAGCTCTACTGTGTTGTTTTCTCACAATATGTTGATAACAATTTCTGTCGCTTAACAGTACTAAATGCTGTCATGTACCATCCATGCACAACAAAAATAAAGAATTACAAAAAAAAATAGTCAAAGAAACAAAAACAAAATAGTAACATGCTAATCTATAGTTAATTTTTTATCTTACACACAATACAACAATAGGTCAGCGCTAATTAACAAACAATATGTAAGCAGGCAGCAACCCTAACGAAGGGAACCCCTCAAACCCTTCAAAAATTGAAAAAGCAATATAAGGAAATGGGGTAGGGCTGCACCAGTAGACATAAATAGTCCCAAATAAAAGTCTCACTAGGACAGCGGTAGAAGGTCAGAGGTACTTGATAGAATGTAGATGTGTAGACTCTTCTACAGGAATAGGTGCATTGGAATGTCTCAAGATATTCATATATGTATGGAGACAAAAGGAGAGACGAGGGAAACCAATAGTGTAATAAGTATGAATCCAGCAGAAGTACGTCCATCAACATGAGATAAATACAAATTAAATGTGTTTGTATTTATCTCATTTATGTTTTCCGATGTCTTTTATATACTAATCCCTGATTGGCTAATTGTACTTTTGGCACCAATTTAAATTTATTGTACCCCTATATAAACACCTGTCTAGTTATTATTTCTATTCCATTTGAAGAAGCCACATATAATGAAACACGTAATGGTTATTTAATATTGTGTATTTTAATCTATAAAAGTCTTTTGGTCACTTTGCTGTGACAATCCTCTTTTTATTGTATTTTATATGCACTTTTTTTATTTTTGTACTTTTCCTGGCATTTTACTGTTCCTGTACTCAAAGAAATCCAAGGTGGGGATCATACCACCAACGCTTTACCTATTGAGCAGTGTTTCTGCTCTAGGCTTGTGAGTATAATTTTTTTCTATTTTTATTCCATTTTATCATAATTGAGAGCACTATTGTTGCCTTTTTATCCCTTTCTGGAGCTTTGGATAACCAGACTGTGTTGACCTACACACTTCTCCTGCATATCCCATAAGCGGGGATTATACCGCTGTACGCCTGTCACACCAGAACTGGTCATAGCTCTTTTAAATGTGAGTTTTCTACCACTTTTCATTATATTTTATCTTGGATTTAGACGTATTGCACTATTGGTTGCCCTCGTCTCTCCTTTTGCCTCCATACATATTCGAATATCTTGAGACATTTCAACGCAGCTACTCCTGTAGAAAAGTCTACACATCTACATTCTATCAAGTACCTCTGACCTTCTACCGTTGTCCTAGTGAGACTTTTATTTGGGACTATTTATCTCTACTGGCGCAGCCCTACCCATTTCTTTATTTGTAAACAATAATGATAAAAAATAATAACAACAAAAATTGGAGGCATTAACCATGGGCTATGCAGTCGGAGAGTGCTTGATAGCAGTGGTGAGTAATGCAAGTCCCCATGGCCATTTGCATCATTCAGCTTATGCCCACCCTGAAAGCCTGAGATGCCAGCCTAGTGTGGAGGTGCAGCTTCAGCTTCAGCTTCAGCGGTATGCTGTTATGCAGTGGATCAGCCAGTGGGAAGCCACCTTGCCCAGCAGAGGCCTCTCCAGCTCCTCTCCATGAAATCTCTAAACCTCCTTTGCAGACCAATCAGTGGTGCCACCATTCTCGAGCCAGCCTCCAGTTTTGCACAGAAAAGCTCGAAGATAGCATCCAATGTTGCCATAGGTTGGAGAGGTGAGTAGGTCGGATGTAGGCCATCTTGCGGAGCCAGGCTTTGGGTCAGGAGTGATGCAAAGCTCGCAGGTTTGCTTTGTTGGTGGGGGGGTAGGAGGAAGTGAGGCGTGGCCCAGACCGTAGTCTTGTTGAGGATAAGGTGGAAGATCGTCCGCGTCTCTTGCCCCAGTACATATGGCAGGCCGCAATAAGCTTTAGGCCCCATAAAAAGCCGAGCAAAGCTAAATAACTCAGTCCTAGAGGTTATCACTGCTCCTTGGGTCAAATTCAGCTGCTTCAATATTTTACACTTTATAATCTTAAATCACGGGATAATCTGAGGAGCTCCCTCACCCTGTGTGCTGCTCGCTTGGTGGTCAGGCCGTGCCCCACCTAACCATTTTTAAAAATGTACAATTATGGTTATTTGTAAAGTTTTAAAATTCTGTAATGCAGTACAATGAGACTGGTAGTTAAGGAAGTGTCGAAGTAAGAACAACAACAAATGAGCATGGATGGAACAGAACAAGGACAATAGCTAAAATCATATTGTAATTAATCTAATGCAATCATACCTGCTCCTCAGACTGGCCATAACTTGAAGTCCATTTTTATGATCTTCTACAATCTTTTTTATGGATTCAATGTTTCCCTGAATAACTTGGGGAACTATGGATTGCCACATTTCACTATAACCTGGAAAAGAAAGTTATAAAAATAATCAAATATCTATCACATTAACTTTTACATATTTTATATTTTCAAAAATGCATTTGAACTTATACTAAATCTCCATCCTATTGAGTTCCAATATATATATTAGTAGATAATGTATTGCAGAAAATACGTCTTCATTTTTAAGTAAAACATCTTGCATTTGTATGCTACGTTTAAACTCCTGTCATCCCCTAGTGAGTTAGAAATGTAGCCAGGAGCCTGTTATCCCAATAGAAAAATCAGCATTTTGATTTCCTAAAGTGGGGTCATTATTTCCCAGCCTTTCAACAATGTGGAAAAGACTTAGAACTGCCTAATGATATAGAATTACAATTTTATAGAACTATAGAGTCACTAAAAACAAAATCACAGGAGAGCTAGATTAGTTTGAAATCATATTTAAATGTAACTAGAAAAATGTTCTAAAATATATAGAAAATAATTAATTACTGTTTGATCTGAGCACCATCAGTCTATATGATCAGGTCAGCATAGGTCAATATGCTAGTATTATGTGAAAGAAACTATACATATCTTTATAAATATTTTTTTGCACATGGAATTTTAGATTTAAAATTACACTTTTCACGCTTTGAGAGATTCTCTTTGCTATCCTCCTTGCTAAAGCTCTGATCCTTCTCCAGTAAAGCTTGTGACTTGTGTTCAAATCACATGATTCCCAAAAGAAGCAATAGGAGACATGGAGCAATTAAATCTAATGCGCATTCAAATTTTGAAACCTGGAAGCCGAAAAAATGTTTTTGCTAGCAAATGTTATGCCCATTTGTATAAGAAGATACTAATATACGGTGATCCTCGTGATCTGTCAACAAGGCTTTTCATACAGAAGCATTGAAAACAACGAGACGCACTTATTTCAACTTTAAATTACATTGCAAAGCAAGTAAGATAGGAAACCCACCTAGCTGCTTGCTTGACAGCTGGGAGATGTTCCTAAGAGGATTTATATACATTTTGATTTCTCTTAAAATCATCACTTTTATAAAGTAAACCAGTGGATACAGGCAATTAACATTTAATGCAAAGTGCATTAGATGTCTGAAGTGTTAAACGGCAGAGAATTGACCAGTGACACTGCAGGGGCATGATCTATACACCAAAACTGCTTCATTAAACGAAAGTTGTTTTGGTTTCTATAGTGTCCCTTTAACTATATATATATATATATATATATATATATATATATACATATACATTTTTAAAATTTTTACTGTGAATGTTAAATACAACACATATCTCAAGCACAGTCTCAGTGACAAGAATTTTGTCATGGAACAGATAGAGCATCAAGAGTGTACATGAAGAATTCACCATTTACTTTTTTTTGCATTTAACAATACAACATAAGTAAAACAAAACAAAACAAAAATTTGTCAAGTATAACATAGCTATGGATGATTTTCAGACAGTATAGTTGTAACGAAGGTCGTCAGGATCTCAATTTCACCATCGTTATCAAAAGCAACATCTGCATCCAACCTTGGTCATTTTAAAAGGAGTAAGTGGTGGCCAGAGGGAAAATAAAAAAAAATATAAAATGAATAATAAGGAGAAGGATACTTCCATTGCCCTTAAATGTTTTTAAGCTTGCTTGTAAAGGTAGTCTTACTTTTGCAATAGTCTCTGAGGTCTTGGTCGTGATTTAAATTAACGTTCAGATCTTTCTGTCCTTTGATGTTCTTGGCAGGTAGACTGCACCCCCACTCAATTAAAAGCTAGAAGAAAATCATATAATCAGAGATTGAAGACAAAATCAAAGATAATAATAAAGATCCTTTCCTGCACATATTCGAAAGTTGTAGGACAGAGGGGAAAAAAATAGCAAAATAATGGAGTATAGAAGCAGAATCTCCCTTTTAAGTGTAAAACAAACATTATTTAAAAGAAAGATATACATTTACAAATGTTACATTATGAAGCAAAATGAAAAAAAAAAGATAATGACACATCTAAAATATTTAATAGAGTAAGCTAATGGTGAATATCAAAATATGGACAATATTGATATTTGTAATATTAAAAGGGAACATCCGCTTAGCTATATACAGCAGATCAGAAGGATTGTGGGAACTGTAGAGAAGTGTGAAACCATTCATCATAGGTAGATGAAGAAAGATCTTTACCCCATTCAATAGAAACTATAAGCAGGAAAGATGAGACTAGTTCTCATTGCTCAGTGACTCATAACTCCAATGTGTGGAGAACCTGCTATAAAACAGGCATTTAATATAAAATAAACAAACAAGGATACTCTTTCTTCACAATCTCTCTCTCTCCTCCACTCTCTCTCTACCTCTCCATTCTCCATCACCCCAACTCTCTCTGTCTCTCTCCCTACTTTCTCTCTCTCTCCCCTTATTACCACTCACTCCCATCCTTCCTTTTACTCTTGCCCATCCTCTCTATCTCTGTTCTTCTTTCTCCCCAGTCCCCTCTTTTATCCATTTCTCTCTCCATTTATTTGCTTTCCTTTCTCATTCTCTCCATTTATCCTTGTCCCTCTGTGTTTCTGTTTCTCTTGTCGCTCCTTTTCCTCTCTCTCTTACTATTTTCCTCTCTCCCTAACTCTTCTCAACATTTCTTTATCGTTTTCCCTATCCCTAAATCTGTTTCAAAATTCATGACATTTGTTGCCAGACCATCATTATTTCAGTATCATTAACGTAAGTACTGAAATGCATTTAATTTTGCTCACAACAGACACTGTAATGATTGGATTTACTGCTTGTGCTTTGATACTGCAAAGGCAGGTATGCTCAGTATCAGCCTTTTGACATAATGGAAATTTCTTTGGATGAAATATACAACACAATGCTGTGAATGGGCTGCTTATTCATAGCTGGTGTATTTTAACTTCTTATAATGCTGTAAAAGTTTTCACATTGTAACAATTTTTCCACATTTCAAGTAAGTCGATTACATTTCAACAAGGTAATGGCTACATGACATGACTATAATATAGTCACTCAAGTAAAATGATAGTATTATATTACAACATCTTTGGCATACTACCTGCTTTATGCAAGAAAAATTACATGCAACGCATTTTCATAAATATTCATACAGAGCCGGTCTCACACAGACACACATAAACACACACAAACCCACATATATAGATTTCCTGTTATACTGTATTTACTTGAATCTAACACACTATACCAGGGGTAGGCAACCTACGGCACTAGTGCCATGCACGGCACTCGAGGTGTCTTTGCACGGCACTCAAGGCTGCCAGAACAAAAAAGGTTCTGGCCTATCAGGAGTCTCAGTGAAACTTCTGATATCTGCTAATACAAAGAGGTAGTGAAGGACAATCCTCAATTTATGCATTGCAGCACTTAGAGGAAGTGATCTCAGATCACTTCCTCCCAGCACTTGTGAATGGGAATCCACACTGTAGTAGAGCAGCCCACAGCTGATGTTGCAGCTCCTGTCCTTGACCTGTACCTGCCCAGGCTGGTCCCCACTGGAAACCAGGGAAGCCACCCACACTGCTAGATATACACAGACCTGCAGACTAAGCCTCCCCTCATACAAATAATACGAACAGTCCACACACAAATATACACACAATCCCCACAAACGCAACACCACTAACAATCTACATACATGCACACAATCCCACATGCAGCCTCTCACATGCAAAACCCCAAACAGCCCCCATACACTACCAAACACACAATGTGACATATCCATCCACACACAATTCCACAAGCAGCCCTCATACACAGCCCACATTCATATGTATCATACACAATACCAAAAAACTACTAATGAACATATACAATATAATAGCTCATATACGCACAAATACAACGATACAAAGCAATTACAGTAAAAATAACACAAGCAGAATATGGCAGCATACACACCTCAATTTAAAAAAAATAGGATCGGCAGGAATTTGGGGGCCCCAAGCAAAATGGACATGGAGGCGCCCCCCCCCGCATACAAAGCCTACAGGAACCACAGCATAGCCATACAGTTTAAGTTCACCCACACTTTATATAAATAAAAAAGGTTTACAGTGCAAATACTGCTGTTGCATATACTGTGCATAAATAAAAAAAAATGTCAGTGCAAATACTGCTGTTGCATATAATGTGCATAAAATTTGAACATTTTCAAAAATGGAAAATTCCCTGTGTTCTCCTCATCTCCCCTTCTCCTCACCCCCTCCCTGTGTTCTTCTCATCTCCTCATCTCCCCTTTGTCAGGATACTGACAGGGATCCAATACGCAGAGTGCGGACAGAAGGAGGTACGTATACCGGACCTTAGAATGGCTGGACTAACGTATGGACAAAACAAGAATAGTCAAAAGGTAAGCCGAGGTCGAGGGAGCCGGAGGACAGGTAAGCGAGATACAAGCCGAGTCAAAGGAGAAGAGAGGACAACAGGACAAAAGACAAGCAAGGTCAAAACCGAAAACACAAGAGAGAGAGAACGCGCTGAGTGACTAGCAAGCTAGAACCACGACAGGGCAATGAGCAGTAGTAAAGGTTTCCTTTAAATACCCTGTCACCTTAATTGAGACCACGCCCCCAAAAGGTCCGGAATAGCGGTTCCCGGCACTTCACGTAATGCTGACGTCATGACGTCGACGCTAGCCGTCGCGTCATAAAAGGGGGAGGAGCTAGCGCGGCCGGCGCGAAAACGGCCGGAATTTGCCGAAATGCTAGGGGCAAGGAGCCCCTAAACAGAGAGGATGTCTTCCCTGGAGTCAGCACCAACAGGTACCCTGACAGTACCCCCCCTTCTAGAAACGCCCACCGGGCGGATGGGACCGGGCTTAGAAGGAAAACGAACGTGGAAGGCCCGAAGAAGGCGAGGAGCATGCACGTCTACACAAGGAACCCAAGACCTCTCTTCTGGACCATAACCTTTCCAGTCTATGAGGTATTGCAATTTCCCCCTAGAAATACGAGAATCCAGGATGGACCTAATGATATATTCTTC